CTGATCCAGATTTGCGTCCGATATGACTTAATATCTGAAATGTGGACCCACGGCCCAATATGAAACGTTGCTATCAGAAACAATGCCTGACTGTTTTGGACGTAATATGGTCGGTGTTTACATTAGCATCGCTAACACTCAGAGCTAACCTGTACTGGAGAGCATGTGTGTGAAGAAGATAAAAAGGAACTCACCTTGTGGTATAACCGGCAAGAGAGAAAGCCTTTGAGCTCCATACTGTTTCAGAAATAATCCTTGATAATCCATGATATGGCGTTTCATCACGCCAGTATTTAGTTTAGACAGTAGCTGCCGGGTCCCGCATGAGCTCAGACCCCTCCTTTTTTTTTTTGTATCAATTTTTATTTTAAAGCTTTATACCCCAAATCAGCACTTTTGAAACAGGAAGTGAAATAGAGGGATATGAGGCATGGCCAGAATGGGTGATCTGTTTAGTATTTTGAGCAAAACACTTCATAGACATGTTTTTTATATATCTGAGACCTATGCTATTGCCTAAAAATAGCATGATAGGTCCACTTTAAATAAGGATCACAATGGCAGAGGTGATGAGTGAGGGTAAACAGAATATTTATTTCAGTCATTAGAGCTGACAGTGGAATCACATATTTACAGACAGGTCTTAAGGTACAAAGGTTGAAAAACTGCTGATTTATTCAATAAACTGTCATAAATCCCAGAGTTCAGAGAAGGTTAAAACAGGTCAGGATTGAAATAGATGGCCGCTTCATGATTTGCAGGATTTGGCTTCCCATTGGTCGAACACCAGCTGAGCGGACACTGCATCTTCCACTCCCATTCCTGTTATTCCAAAAAGAAAGGTTTAATGTATTAAGTTGGGAAATGTAAGTACTTCACTCTCTAGGGACTAGCCATAACATGGAGTCATATAAAAGCCATTACAAAGAATAAATATGTAAAATATTACAAAAATACATGTTGAAATATTAAGAGTAAATAAAAATAATATGTCAGTAAATGCTGAAATATAGTATGAATAAATAAAATGTAAGTATAGTATATAGTTTAAAGTATATCAAAATAGAGAACTATTACAAATTATTAAATAATTATTAAAAGCACATATTCCTGTGTATATGTATTTATATACAATTCATCAAAACGTATTTATTTCCTTTTAAATTATTCTTTATATTCCTTATTTTCTTTCATGTATTTCTATGTAAAGTAATTTATTTATCGCTTTGCTTTTTCTGATGCTCTAATGTTTTTGTTACTCCTTAAGGACCAGGCTGTCAGTCAACTGCTATGGGCGGGACTTGCTTCACAGGTCACGTAGGCAATTTCTGCAAACCTGAGCTTTTTCAAAAATATATATACAATCAAGTAAGGCTTACCGAGGGATTTGAACACGGTTGTCTTCTCTCTGAGGGCTGGTTTGGTCCCATTGATAACATCTCCGAGCTCTGCAAACACCTCGGCCTAAAACAAATAATATTAAAACAAATTCTGCAAAAAGACAGTTATGTCAATGAGGAAGTAAGAGAGCAAAATGCAGACTGACCCCTGAGAGGATGACGTCCCCGGACTCAGTCAGCGCCCCCTCCCTGCTGTCAGCGTACACCACGGCCTCCTTCATCAACACGTCGTCCAGCTCCCTCCAGTTCGGCCTGCAGGCTCCGACCGCTAATCAGAAAGAAACCAGAACCGCTGGAAAACATATTGAAATCTCACCTTTTTTTAAGTGTGTGTGTTAAGTACGTTTTCTCACCTGCCACATGGGCTCCTGGTTTGACCCACTGCCCAAACAGCACCGGCTCTGTACACCTGGTAACCGTCACTATGACGTCTGCGCCCCTCACCGCCTCCTCAGCTGAGACACACACGGTCACCGGACCGCTGACTGAGCGGCAAAACCTCTCCCAGCCCTTACCTGAGCGGCTCCAAACACGCACCTGTGGGGAGGATGCAGGAAGTCAATGCAACAATTAGTCTGGCAAATAACTCCCCGAAAGAATACAACCTGTTATTACCATATCTACACTAGCTACTGTGCACATGACAATAAAGCCTTGAATCTTTACACTTATATAGATTAATTAAATGATGTTACCTTTTATTAGAAGAAGAAGAATTGCGAGGGATGAAACCCTCTTTAATGGTCACACATGCAGAGCACACAGCACACACAGTGAAACGTGTTCTCTGCTTTTAACCCATCGTAGTACCAGGAGTCTAGCACCAGGAGCAGTGGGCAGCTGTTGTACAGCGCCCGGGGAGCAATGGGAGCGAGGGGGGAAGGGGGATGTCCGGTGCCTTGCTCAAGGACACCACGGCAGGGCAGGAGGTGAACTGGGACCTTTCCAAGTAGAAGTCCACACTCCAAATGTAGGTCTGGTCGGGGACTTCAACCGGTGACCCTACGTCTCACAGTCCAAGCCCCTACTGACTGCCATAGATGTAGTCCCTAATTTTGCTCTCAAAGTGCACCAGATTGATGCATTTAACTTCAACATTTAAAAAAAAATCTTCCGGGGGAGCTTGGGTCAAAATGTTATTGCATCAATGATCTGTTAACATTAAAATCACTAAATATATGCTGTAACTATTTTGCTCTAAGCAACTCAAGGGTTCAGGTAATGTGATTACTATATGAATAATTGTCCTAGCTGTGACATCACACACTCACATCACACACTCTAGTTAATGTTAAAATCTGAAGAAAGCCTCTGTACCAAGGTCTGAACAATGTTTAATATCTCTAAAAGTAAGAATCAGATTTAAAAGTAGTTTTACACGAATAATGTCAGAAAGATGTGAAACATTTTAAAGTTGTAATGAGGTTTCTGAATTAAAGTATGAATTAACAGTTAGCAGTTGAAGTCGCATGAAGATTTGTTGAAGTCTGAAGATTTTCTCCATTGACTTCAATGTTAAAAATGTGACGAATCATGCGATGTATCTCTGGAATTATGAAAGTTATGAATGAGAAAAGTAATAGCCATCGATTCCCGACCAAGCTGAACGTTTTGATGTTTGAACGGAGTTTCTGCGATGTCCAATACGGGAGAAGAAGAGGGCCAAAATCCCGGCGGAAAAATAATAATAAACTTTTCGTGCGTAGAATAACAGTTAGTTGGAATGCTGTTATCAGCATTCCCACTGAAATATGGCAGAAAAGGTGGGAGGAAG